GAAAGGGAAAAGGTTTCGTGTTTTATTGGAATTTGGAGATGAAGTTATTTTGCTGAGCCCTATCTATCATATTACTATGCTTTCTTTCATTTTCTTACTCTCAAAAGCGTTTTTAAATGCTTTTCTAGCAGAAGGGTTAAATTTGGTGCATGTGTGTCCTTTATTTCACTATGTGTACTGACCTCCTACTATGTGCAACACATAGTGGCCACATTAATGGACTGTAGTGTATAGAGAAGAGCCTGGGCTTTTGAGGCAGAAGGGACTTGGGCAAGTCCCTTAAGCTCTTGGAGGCTCAATTTCCTCTTCTTTCAAGTGCAGATGATAGTCCTGTCTTTGAGGAATAAATGTGTTATGAATGTAAAACTCCTGGAACAGCATCTGCCCTATCATAAGATTTCACAGACAATTTTTTTTTCCGAGATGGAGTCTTGCTCTGTCACCCAGGCTTGCGTGCAGTGGCACGATCTAGGTTTACTGCAACCTCCACCTCCCAGGTTCAAGCAATTCTCCTGCCTCAGCCTCCTGAGTGGCTGGGATTGCAGGCGTCAGCTACCACGCATGTCTAATTTTTTTTTTTTTTTTGCATTTTTAGTAGAGACGGGGTTTCACCATGTTGGCCAGGCTAGTCTTGAACTCCTGATCTTGTGATCTGCCCTCCTCAGCTTCCTAAAGTGCTGGGATTATAGGCATGAGCCACTGCACCCAGCTCACAGACAATTCTTGAGCCATTTCTGTGTATTTGACATTGTGCTAGGTACTGACTATAAAATGAGAAATCAGATGGGGCCCGAGGAGAAAAGAAAGATAAGAAAACTGAGGCTCAGAGAGGTGAAAGGTTTCCTCCAAGGTCATACAGTTGGCAGTCATGACCCAAGTCTGTCTGACTCTACCAAGACACAAGCTCTTCCCATGAGAAGACAGGAGAAAAGTCAGGCTACACATAGGCTAAAAAGGCCCTCTCTGACCCCTGCTGTTCTGTGGTCCTTAGGCCTTTGGCTCCAGGTCTCATGGGTGGGTTGACAGCTTTTTAGAGCCCTAGGCCTTAGCTACAGTTCTGGGGCAATAGGAAAAGTGCCAGTCTATGTTCTGTTACACAGTGTGACAGCTATAATTTTTCTTTTCTTCTTTCCATTGTAAGTATTTTCCCTTTAGAGTTAAGGGTGGCAGTGGGAGCCAGCCAGCCTCAGTTTGATTTCTGGCTCTATTATTTACCAAGTGACCATGGGCAAGTTGCTTAACTTGTGTCCTAGTTTCCTTATCTTTAAAATGCAGATAATAATAGCTATAGACTGAATGTTTGTGTCCCTCTAAAAGTCATAGGTTGAAATCCAAACTCTCCATGTGAAAGTATTTGGAAGCCTTTGGGAGGTGATTAGGTCATGAAGGCTGAACCATCATGAATAGAATTAGTGTCCTTTTAAAGAACACCCAGGGAGCTCACTGAGTCTGGTGGTGCCTTGATCTTGGACATCCCAGGCACCAGAACTGGGAGAGATACATTTTTTGTTGTCTACAAGCCACAATCTACAGGACTTTGTTGCGGCAGCCCAAAGGGACTAAGACATAATAGTACCTACTTCCTGGAGTTCTTAGGATTAAACAAAATCATTCATATGTAGCTCTTAGTATAATGTCTAGCATAGACTATGAGCTCAATTGTTTACTATTAATATTTCCTACTGTTTTCATAGCTACACTTACAATGACTTTATATGATTAAATTTAATGGGTATAATAATACCTTCCTCTGGTGTCAGATATGTAAGGTGTTTCCAATTTTTAAACACAAAGTAAAACATAATTCCTAAGAAAATCATCTTGTAGTTTACAGATTAAGGAAGATTTAAGATTAAAGAGATTTAAGAATTAAATGTTTAATGAATTAACATTAATACATTTAAATTATTAACATCTGTCAAAAATTTAATATTTTCTATACATACTACAGGCTAATTATCCCATCTTAAAAGCCGCTGCATGGATGATCCTCGCCTAAGGCAGAGAGCTGACCTGGATCACTCGACAAGTTCTCCTAGTCATTTGCTCTATGGTTCTCCTAGCCAAGAAGCTGCATCAGCTTTTTCCCCCTTGCCAGAGAACCTGTGATACAGCAAAGCTCAGGGCCAGCCCAGCATATTTCAGATATCATTTGGAAATATCAGGTAGGGCAACTGTCATACCATGTCACCTGATGGGGAACTTATGGGGCGGGGGTTTCTGCTCTGGTCCTTCAGCCAACAAGGCTCAAAGTTAGCAATGGTATAACTAAAATATGAACCTACATGGATTGAGTACCGTCTGTATGCCAGGCTCTGTGAAAACATTCTCCTCAATCCTCAGCTCAACAAACGAGAGACGATTTACTGGCCCTATTTAATAGATGAGAAAACTGGCCTGACCCAGTGGCTCACGTCTGTAATCCCAGCACTTTGGGAGGTTGAGGAGGGAGGATCACCTGAGCTCAGGAGTTTGAGACCAGCCTGGCCAATGTGATGAAATCCCATCTCTACTAAAAATATAAGAATTAGCTGGGCATGGTGGCAGGTGCCTGTAATCCCGGCTACTTGGGAGGCTGAGGCAGGAGAATCGATTGAACCTGGGAAGCAGAGGTTGCAGTGAGCCAAGAGGGTGCCATTGCACTCCAGCTTGGGCAACAAGGGCAAAATGCAGACTCAAA